AATCTCTCGACAAACTCCTTTAACAAGTACTCATTGTTGTCTACCCTGCAGCAAATTTATCTTTATCCATTTCCCAGGGTGTAACTTGAATCACCACAGTGTCTTGTTTCATTGAATGTCTTTCAAATCAAACTGTTGCTGAAGTTTGAAAATGGATATAAGCTGTAAGAACTCTGGGATCTATAGTCAAATTATATTGTCAGTTTGCTTACAGATATACCAAAGGCAAATCACTGATCAACTTTCCCGATCTCCACAAATCCAGCTGTTTTTTTTCCACGGCAAACAGTCTAGAATTGAAATAAATCAAAACAAAAGTTTCAGTATCCTAGAGATTGGTATTTATAATGTGAGAGCAATGCTAATTAAAAGCAATATATAATAAGTTCCTTGACTTCCCTCCTATGGTTTTTATCCACAAGGTATCCTGGACTATGGGCCTTGCCCCTTGACATAGTTTATGCTCATGCTTTCTTTCATTGAGGAAACTATCATAAAGTAGAAGGCAGAAGCATTCATGGAGATGGGCCCCTCATCATTTCTGGATCAGTGCCTTTAAAAAGCCTCTACTGCCCACTTAAATATTTAATTGGACCATAAAATGCTGGGTCACATTCCTGATACAAATTAAAAGTACATCCCAAGAGGTTCAAACAGTTCTGTCAGTGCAACAGCCACACCAGTATTAATAGCTGAAGTTTCTACCATCAATTAACATCATCACTGCTGGCTAGTTGGAGAAGTTAGCACTCAGCACCAACCTTGTGTTTCCGTCTGAATGATGCTGCAAAATTCATTTGTAGCAAATTTTAGCTTTAAGAATTCTTTGGCAAACAGTGTTCTTTTGTTACAAGCTTTAAAAGAAATTTCAAATTTATATTTTAAAGGCTTTAAGGGGCATGGGTAGTAAGCAGGAATACAGTATCAAAGATCAACCATGATCATATTGAATGGCAGACCACGCTTGAAGGGCTGAATGGCCTACTGCTGCTCCTTGTTTCTATGTTATTGTGTTAAGTTATTCATGGAATTTAGGGAGTTTGATTACAGATCAGAGATGAAGGAAAAATAAAGACTTTCATTCATATTCTGCTTTTCATGACCATCTAACTTTTCAAAGTGTTCACAGTCAATTCAGTGCCTTTAAGTTTCATCACTGGTAATGCAGGAAACACAATAGTCAGTCCGCACACAAATTGATTGAGGGATATTTCTTGGCCAGGACACTGGAGATACCTCCTCTAGTCTTCTTCAAAACAATACCTTGGGAATTTTTGGTGCGCATCTATTAGGGAAGGCTGGGCCTCAGTTTAACATGTCATCTGAAAAGTGGCACCTCTGCCAATGCAACATTTCCTCAATACTGTATTGAACAGTCAGCCTGGATTTGTGTGCTTAAATGCTGGAATTGATTTTGGACCAGGAACCTTGTGACTCTGAGATGCAGGTTCCACTAATTGAATCACAGCTGATACAATCATCACTGAATGGCAATGGAGGTTTGAAGGATAAAATAGCCTACACCTTGTCCTAGATGGGCATAACTAGCAAGGCCAACATTTGTGGTCAATTAAAATTTCCATGAACTGCTACAGTCCATGTGGTGAAGGTACTGCAACAAATAGGCACCAATAGTCAGGATTCTGGTCCACTGCTGATGAAAGTACAAGTAGGGATGATGTTTGAATTGGTGGGGTGCTTAAAAGTGAAGACCTTCCTGTTCTTATTTTCCCTGTCCTTTTCGGTACTGTAGTAGGAATTGCTACAGTACATCTGTGAAGTGCTGTTGAAGAAGCTTTCGTTTGTTGATGCATTGCAAATGGTGCATACTGCAGCCATGTTGGACCAGTGCTGTAGAGAATTTAAGGTGATGGGAGGCCAAACAATTAAGCAGACTGCCTTTTCCCGCATGATGTTTAGTTTCTTGAGCATTGTCGCAACTGAACCTTTCTAGACAAGTGGATATTCCTAACTTACACTTTACAGGTAATGGAAAAGCCTTGAGAATATCCAGCTCCTTATCCACTCAAGTAACTTTAGCATTTACATGAGGGTTCTAGTTGTTTCTGATCAATAGTTATGTTTTCCATGTTGCTAGAACACAGCAAAATAAATCATCTCTTGTAGGATAAACCCAAAAGAATAACTTACTGGGCAGCACATTTTCATAGTAATGATACGCCACATCAAAGCATTTTATTGCGAACAGCTCGTCATTCCGGATTAACTTGAAAAACTCAGTAACAGATGCAACAGATCAGCCAGTAATTATTAAGATACAAGACAAGTTGACATTTTCAGGACAATTCTATCAAAACACAACAGTAAAAGTTGTTGTCAGAGTCCGAATCCTTTTAAGAAGTTGTTATTACTCTGAAGACTTTTACAAATGTTTTTCTTGTGTATGTAAGGGTGCCCTGTTGCTTCATTAGACTTTCTGACTTTATAACTTCAATCAGAAAATGAAAAAGGAGACTAGAGGGCATTGTTAAACCTGTAGCCAAATAATTTAAGCTCCACCATGAGCTGCTTATTTACATGACCACAGGCAGTAGTAAATATTATTTGAAATATTGTGTAAGATATGTTTTTCTTGTCCAGAAACATTCAACCAGAAGTACATGTGAGTTTAATGCTGTTATTAATGTGTTTGGAAAAATACCAAATTGTGGCAAGAAAGAGACCCCTTGTATTTTGTATGTCACCACAAATTGCTAAATGATTTGTGTATGAGATTTTAATTTCTGCCATACTGTTCAATCTCAGAAGTCCAGAAAGAGAACAACTCAAAGTGTAGAATCCCATTTCTGATGGCAGAACATTGTTTCTAGAGTTAAAATATAACAACATGTTTTGTCATTTTGCTTTATTATTCTGTTCTCTTTCTCAATGCTTGTTTCTCTCTTTTTAATTTGACTCTAATTTATCCTTTCACCTCCTTTTTCCTTCCTGTTCTTTTCTCTGTCCTTAAATTTTGTTAGAAAACATGATAAACTATTAGCCCCATTATATGACAATGTTCCAGGTGCCCCATTGCTCCATTATCAGGTTGTGCTGCCAACAATTTGTGTTGAAAAATGGATGTCTGGGTTCTCAGCCAAATCTGCTGAATGTAGGCAACATAGCCATTCATCAGTTTGTTGAAACAGCTGTGCCCTTGAAGAGAACATTGTTCAAATGATATCTTTCTATCTCGGATCGATTTCAGCTACTCAATGTTTAATTATGCACGATCAAGCAGTATCAAATACTTGAAGATTCTGCGATTCTGATATTTTAAAGGGCTGGTTGATTGATCCTGTTACAGGACTGGAACCAAAGTATGTAAGAAAGTTATGGATTAATTAATTTTTGAAGTGTTTTCATACATGGCATGTGACTAATTGGTTCTGTACAGAATTTGCACGTGGTAAAATGGGCTTTGCAGTACCATAGACTGAAATGGAATTTACGGGGAACCTTTGGGTATAGGTCAAGGGACATTACTTGACATGGAGGTGAGGGGAGTTGTGAAGTGTAATGGCTATAGGACTCTTTTCTGTTTAACTGTTTTTATTATCATTGGAATGAATTGCAGAGCACTAGTACAGGTCATTTAAATTGTCTGCCACAACACCCAGTAGCTACCTCCACATTGTTTTTGGAGGTAACAAGCCTGATCCAAGTTAGCACCCATATTCCTGGAATAAAAATCCCACCTTAGCACGTTCCCTTCCTACTGTGGATGTGTCAAGTTGGGAAATTGACCAAATCCCAGTATTCATCTCTCAGATAAAAATGTACTTGTTTATAAGTCATTCCCGTATCTTTGGGCATTAGATTGAATTCTCATCAAAGTTATGAAAGAGGTAGATGTCCTGTGGAATTTGGAAACCAGTAATTATTTGTACTGGATGTAATACTTGGTGGTGTCAATATTTAAAGTATGGCATTTCCCTCATCCCTTTTTTATTGTAGATTTCAATCATTTGAAATAATGAGCTCAGTGACTACATTAAATGACTGGAAGGAGGAACATCATATGAAGTTTGATATCAATAACAACTATCCTTGGACTATAATAATTGCAATTTGTGCTGAAATATTTCAGAACATGTAAATAATTAAAGATTCCTCCAAACTGCACCTGTAATATTTCACATGAAGGAATGCTCAACTTGTATGTCTTCTGTTGTATTTGTTAAGGAAGACTAGAATACTGAATGAATTCTGCTTCAAATAGTAACATGGGATCTTCAATGTTATCCAAGTTCAGCCCTTGATAACACTTAAATAAAGCAAAGAAAACTGTGGATGCTGAAGATCTGAAATTAGAACAGAAATTGCTGGAAAACTCTAAGTCTAGCAGCATCTGTGAAGAGAAAATAGAATTAATGTTTCAAATCCAATGATCCTTCTTATGAATTTAGAATAATTTGGAATAATGATAATAATAATTTAGAATAATCACTATTATAAGATAATAGTGATTACAAGATAATAACCTCAATAAGTGATTAAGATAATGTCATAACTCAGGCAGTTTGAAGCTATTATCTAAATAAAGAGTGAGATCAACTTGTAACTCTGCTTTCTCTCCACACATGCTGCCAGATTGCTGAGTTTCTCCAGCATGTTCTGTACTTGTTAACACTTTGGTTTATTAGACAGTATTTTTGACAATGCCGCACTCTCTCGGTACTTCACTGGAGTGATGTAACCTTATGTAAACCTCTTAAATGCTTGAGCATTTCCAAATCCATAACATTCTGACTCAAAAACAAGCATGCTATCAAATAAGCTCTTTACAGACTCTACATACTTTACATATATGCTTGTGTTTCAGAATTGCAAACTAATAGTAATCATAAATTATGATAATGAAGTGGGTAAAATCAATTGTTTAATGCTGATGATGGAATCATTTCCGATCACTCCACACTTTGTAAGGCAGTGTTCAATCCTATTTAGTGGAATTGTTACACTCAGTACTAACTTACAATTAACCTTCATTATCACAGGCATTGTCTGGTACTAGTATGGAAGAAGCTCGTTGGCGAGAATGTGCCAGCTACATTAACAGCAACATGGAAAATGCAGTGGGAGCGCTCTATGTGAGAGAGGCATTTGCTGGCGAGAGCAAGAGAATGGTATGTAGCTCACAAAACAGAGCCAGTCATTATGTTTTTTCTCCCCAAGGACCACAATGCCAGCCAACATTTCAGTTGAGAGCCTTTATCAAGAATGCTGAAAGTGATATGAAATTTTTAAGTGCCCATGTTAATTGGCGTACAAAATCCGACAACATAAAACATCACTGAGGATAACAGCAGTATACAGAAACCTCGCAGGTATCATGGATAGAATATATGTGTTCCCTTTCTGTCCATGATCAGTATGTTTTTTGAAGACAGTTGTGTGTTTTCTTACTCTTGGAGAGTGGCACCAACTAAATAATTCCAGCAGCAAACTTGTAAAAAAAAATGTTTTTTTATATATGAATTTAAGTGCAATGACTCACCCGCACATTCACTCTCTCACTCTGAGATATCCAAAAACTAAGTACAGATGAAGTTAAGATTCTGATTTTACTTTTTACTTGTTCACTGGATGAGGGTATTACTGGCTTAAGTAGCATTTACTGCCCATCCTTATTTGTTCTGCAAATGGTGGTTTTGAGCCATGTCGTTAAACCACTGAAGTCCATGAGGTGTAGGTACACTCACAGTGTTTGTAAAACAGGAGTTCCAGATTGTACTTAACTCAGTATCAGACTTACAATCTCCAGACTCCCTCATGGCAGGTCTGTAGTTTCTTAGATGGTTTAGATCTCCTGATTTCAATCTATTGCTATTAATTACCTTGGTTATTTGTTAACATGCAGCTGGTTCATGGTCTGGTTTTCCGACCACTAAACTGCTAGTTTGCAATGAAAACAGAAATTGCTAATTAAACTCAGCAGGCCTAGCAGCATCTGTGGTGAGAAAACAGTCGATGTTTAGAATCTGGTGATTCTTCATTGGAACATCAGAGTTCATTCATCAGTGTTGTGGGATAATTTATGTCCATCTGAGAGAGTAGATGGTTTAACTGAGAAGGGTGCCTCTGACAATGTAGCACTCTCATTGTCGGCACCAGAGCCTGAATTTGATGTTCGAGGTGGACCTAAACCCACAGCCAGCTGACTGAGACTTGTAACTTCTGTCATCTGAACCACAGTTGACATTTATACAGTTGTTACGATGAGAGGATTTTAAAAGAAACTATTATGGGATATGGGCATTGTGGTTGGACCAGCATTTATTTCTCATCCCTAATTGCCCTGGTGAAGGTGGTCATGAGCTGCCTTTTGAACTGCTGTAATCCTTGGTGTGTAGGTACACACCCATGAGGGGCATGGGCAGGGTGAAAAACCAAGGTCTTTTTTCCCCTGGGTATGGGAATCCACAACTAGAGGGCATAGGTTTAAGGTGAGAGGGGAAAGATATAAAAGGCACCTACGGGACAAGTTCTTACGCAGAAGGTGGTGCATTTATGGGAATGAGCTGCCAGAGGACATGGAGGCTGGTACAATTACAACATTTAAAAGGCATCTGAATGGGTACACACATGGAAAGAGTTTAGAAGGATGTGGGCCAAATGCTGGCAAGTGAGACTAGATTAATTTAGGATATGGCATGGACAAGTTGGACCGAAAGGTCTCTTTCTGTGCTGTCCTACTCTATGATACCTGTTAAGAGATGGGATTCCAGGATTTTGAACCAGCAACAGTGAAGAAACAGCTATATGTTTTCAAGTCGGGATTGTGGGTGGCTTGGAGGGCAACCTGCAGGTTGTTATTGTTCCCATGCATCTGCTGCCTTTGTCCTTCTAGATAGTGATAGTCTAACAGCTATTGATTTTGATTAAATATTTTTCCCTTTTCAGGTAAAGGATTTAATTGATAAAATTCGAGAAGTGTTTATTGAAACATTGGATGAGCTGGAGTGGATGGATGCAGCTTCCAAGCAAAAAGCACAAGGAAAGGTCGGTTAATGATACATATGCAAGGCTTTCAGTTCTCATGATTGCTGCTGTTTGAGAGAGGGGGCAAGGGTGAGTGAACATGAGGAAGTGACATGATATAAATCTGTACATCTTTCCATTCTGTGAAATATTGAATAGATCAGGCTGGGGATCCCAGAATGTTGTTGCCTCAAGGATTTCAATTTGTCATTGTCATGGGAAAAGCATAGTTTTGAATTCATTTTTACATTCTGTAAATGAATCACCATATGTATTGACTTACTCAAGCCAGTTGGTTTTCAGTTAAATTTCCATTGTGTGCAATGGTAGCTTTTCTCAAATGGGGTAACAGTTGGATTCCAGCAATTGGCCTCAGCATTCCTAACAAACAGAAAAGGGAAAAATATCCTGTTTTCCTTTTCACTTCTCTTCACTGTTCATGTAGGCATTGGCTCTTGGTGAGCAATTCTGTGGCTATGCTTGCCCTTGGTTAGTGAGATGTGTTGGGCTGTCCTTGAATGTTGAATATCACAGCCAGACTCTGTCCTCCCGTAATGTTCTCAACAGAAACCACTGAATTGTGATGAGTATTAGGAAACCTGTTCTAGGGTACTGAGGGCACTCGTTAGTCCTAATCTCAATTACAAAAATATCAGTAGGTAATGAGCAATAATTCTAGTGCCAGAGTTGTTAATTGTTTTGAAGACCCCTTTGTATATGTTTCCTCAAAGGCCCTGGCAATAAAAGAGCAAATTGGATATCCAGACTACATCTTGGAAGAAGACAATCCCAGGCTGGATCAGGAATATGAACATGTGAGTATAGTAGATTTTGGGATCAATTGACAATAGACATAACCTTGTGTTGACCCACATAAAATTTCCGCTTTGTGAAATGCAGTGACATGTTCCATTTCTTAAATGTTAAGTGGTCAAAATTACAGCATTCCTGTTTCATTGCCAGAAGCATACTGAGCCAGAGCTCACCAAAGTCTGCCGATACAGATGTTGTTCACAAATTGTGCAAGGCAAGTATTTCAGCCAAGTTAGGGCATCCAAGGAGGTCTAGGAAGAAGCTCAGAGTAAATTTATCGAATGAGCTTTCAACTCTGAATATTAAATACAGTCAAAGCGCATCCTGTGACCAATGCATACTTTGTTCTCCAAAACAGTTTTAATAGGCTCCTTTTATTTAAACTTATTCCATTCCTTTATCTCCATGTCAAGTTAATGTTGTTGACTTATGCATCTTCCAATTTGGGACAATTGATTTCTTGGCCTTTGACAGTGATCTATCTGGGGTAGGTTTTGTATTCTGAGAAACCGAGTGACACTTTCCATTTTTAGAAAAGTCTCTCAGTGTGAGAGAACTGAATTGATGGAGAATAATAGGATTATAAGATAATGGTGATTACTAGATAATAACCTCAATAAGTGATTAAGATAATATCATAACTCAGGCAGTTTGAAACCATTATCCAAATAAAGAGTGAGATCAACTTGTAACTATTCCAATTCATCCATTATGTTTCATTATATACATACTACGGAGTCACAAAAAGAGATTTATTCTGTTTTTAATGCTTTCTTTATCTTGTTGGCAATAGGTGTCATAGTAACCGCCTGTGTATTTCATGCAGTTTATGCATGAATTGCTCACACTGAAGAATTAACAACTGTGACCAATTGTTTCAACTGAGTGCTAATCCACTGTGGATTAGCACTGTTATCACATTTTATGCCAACTAAATTGTCTCATCAGAGATGCATCAGAGTCCTATCTAATGATTAACAGAATTCACAAACTGTAGTTCTCATAGCTGTTATACTTTATCCAGCTAAACTTCAGTGAAAACAAATACTTTGAAAATGTCCTTGAAAATCTGAAAGCAGCAGCACAGAAAGACCTTAAGAAACTACGGGAGCAAGTGAATCAAGATGTGTAAGTATCAAATGATTGAACTCTCTGTCTCTCTCTCTCTCTCACACACACACACACACACACACACACACACACACACACACACACACACACACACACACACACACGAATGACCTGCATGAGGGAACCAAAAGCAACATTTCCAAGTTTGTTGATGACACAAAACTGGCCAGCGTTGTGAGGACGCTTCAAGATGACTTAGACAAGTTGAGTGAGTGGGCAAATACATGGCGGGTGCAGTACAATGTGGCTAAACATAATGTTATGCACTTATGTGTGAAGGACAGGAAAGAAGACTATACTTTAAATGGTAATGTATTAGGAAGTGTGGATGTAGAAAGTCATCTGGGTGTCCTTGTACGCCAGTCAATGAATGTAAACAGGCAGGTACAACAAGCAATTAAAGATGAATGATACACTGGTCTTCATTGCAAGAAGATTTGAGTCCAGAAGGAGAGATGTCTCGTTGTAGTTTTGCAGGGCTTGGTGAGGAGCATGTTTTACCTGGTAGGGGAATCTAGAACCAAGGGACACAGAATCAGGATATGGGGTAAACCATTTAGGAGTGAGATAAGGAAACATTTCTTCACTCAAAGGGTAGCGAACCTTTGGAATTCTCTACTGCAGAAGGGTTTGGAGGCCAATTCACATAAATATATATGTAAAAACCGAAAGAACTGCAGATGCTGTGAATCAGGAACAAAAACAAAGTTGCTGGAAAAGCTCAGCAGGTCTGGCAGCATTTGTACGGGAATATATATATGTATATAAATATATATGTAAGTAAGTCATTAATAGTTGTGGCCCAAGCACTGATCCTTGCAACACCCGACTAGACAATTGGAAAAAGATCCATTTATTCCCTCCCCATCTCTCCCTATTTATTTCAGAACCCCCTACCCCTCCCCCATTTCTGAAGAAGGGTCTAGGCCCGAAACATCAGCTTCCCTGCTCCTCTTGGCCTGCTTGCTGCTTGGCCTGCTGTGTTCATCCAGCTCTGCACCTTGTTATCTCATTTATTCCCACTCACTGTTTTCTATCTGTCAGCTAGTTCCCTATCCATGCCAATATATTTTCCCCAATCCCATGTGTTTTAATTTGCCAACTAAACTGTTATGAGGGAGCTTATACTCTTCTAAACACTTCTAAAAATCAAAATTCACCACATCTATTGATTCTGCCTTATCTATTCTACTAGTTACAACATCAGAAATCCTCAGATTTCTTAAGCATGATTTGCCTTTCATAAATCGATGCTGATTTTGCCCAATCTTGTTCAGTTTCCAAACATTCTGTTATGATGTCTTTTATAGTAGAGTCTAGTATTTTCCCCACTGTTGATGTTAGGCTAACTGGCCCGTAAGTCCATTTTTCAGTACCATCCTTTTTAAAATAGTGCAATTACATTTGCCACCCTCCAAATGGACAGTCATTCAGTTGCTAAAATTGGCCTTCAGAAATGTGAGGAAAATAAACAGCGAAAATGGTCTCCCGATCATTATCCATTATCACTTTCTGGAATCTAAGGATTTGTGAGCATCAGCTGATGCTAACCTTGGGCTGGAACGTAATTCTTTCCATTATTGTTTTGCCTGACAAGATAACAGTCTTGGCTCAAGCATGAATAATCTGTGAGGTACTGCCAGGCAGGTTGCACCTCTTTCTGAGCTATGGCCAAGTTACCAAGTATGTAAGGATGCAAAAGGCCATTCAACTCATGAATCACCTAATCTCTCCAATGCAGTCCAACCAACACAATCCAATTCTTAAAGAAGCAATTAAGTAAAACTCTTAAAAACAGGCTTTCTCTGAATATTCCTGCCTTGTACAAAATAACATATTACCATATTCCAAAACTGTATAATCATTCAATCCTTGTGAACTTGAATGCAATTTAAAAACAAACTATTTGCCTATATATCTTTAGTTGCTTCCGTTATTTTAAAGACTTTTAAAATAAATCCAGGGAATGCTTACAGGGAACGTGAATCGGACGAATTGCACAGTTATAACTCCAGCGAGCACAGCTGACCACTGGAAGGACATGAAGAATCTCACCACTTCGAACCATGTTCATTTTCAATCTTTTGGGCAAGTTTGTACATCCTAAGGGGAAATACAGTATGCACAAATTATAAAGTTTGATATATACTTGTAACCCCACACTATTTCTTCTACTTTATTTCAGATGGATGATTGGAGCTGCAGTTGTAAATGCTTTTTATTCACCTAATCAAAACCAGATAGGTATGTCATAATTATACATATTGCCAAAAGATTAATATTGGTTGTTCTGTGTAAGTAAATGTTTAGGGTTGCAGTCATTGTTAAGTTGTTTAATGTAATGACTAGTAGAGTCCCGTAGACAAAGAAGGCCTCAAATTCACTGTTTATTATGATTGTTACTTAGCTCATCTCAGGGTGGGTCAGTAATAGAGCACCACAATTGGTTTCCACCCTCCAAATTTTATGAAGGGATAAATCCACTATGACCATGAAGTTAATCAACATCTCACAATCTCTGTTGGAAGAGTGACATTGAACTAAGGCTGTCCAGCACCCATTTTTAGGACACTGAACAGGTTTCAAACACTTAAATGTGGTGGACTTGAAGTGCATGTTCAATAGGAGTATGAAGGACCCAAACGTGAAACAGTCATTAGTCTTTTTGTATGTGCAACCCAATGGACTATAACCTCTTTGAAGTACCCTCTGCAATACCAGAACCAATAAGGTAAGATTTTAAAATATGCATACTATTGGAGAGCCATCCAATGCATGCCAAGAACTGCTGGCCCCTTCTTCCACCCCTCCTGCCAACTTAATCATTGCCAAGTCCAGGCATGGCTATCCCTCTGAAACTGATCATTTCCTCTCCTAACCAGATCACCAGCCTCGCAACCTGATCACCACCCCTCCCAACTAGATCATCTCACCTCCCTACCAGATCATCTCCCTCCCAACGAGATCATCTTCCTTTCATTCTGATCCACTAATTCCCACTTCCTGGTCCCCTTTAAACTCTGAGCCGAAGGCTGTATCTCACTTCACAGCAATCTGACTTCATTCCCCTTTATTGGCGAGCTGCAATTGATCACCCATTAGGTATCAGCAGTTAATGAAAATGAGTCTCTATATATATCAGATGCTTGTCAGCCAATCCATTCTCACACACACACACATGCACATGGATATCAGTGCAGTTTAACTCCTAGACTCATGTGACATGGATGAGGTTTCAGCTAACTATTTCTTGTGCCTTGGTGGTGTACATCTATGGCTACCATTGACATAGCGTTGACCAGGTTTGAGTTCAATCAACATTAATTTGGATTTTATAGACTTGGAATTTACATTAAGCTATGTCCCCATTTTGAACTGAGTGGAATCTTGTATCTCAGTATTCAGAATGCTACATTGCATTTTTATTTTGCCCTTTTCAAGTATTTCTCTTTTGCAAATGACCATTGAATCTGTTTGCCACCACTACCATTTCATCTGATGCATTCCAGATCATAAGAGCACACCAGACAAACTCAAGTCTCACTTCTCTCTGACTCATTTGTCTATCCCCTAAATCTGAGCTCTTTGGTAACTGATTCCACACGCTCCCCACCTCCCCCCCCACACAAATAGTGGAAATAATTTCTTCATGTTTATCAAAATTACTTTAGAGTGAGGATCAAACTGAATTGGATTTCCTTTTTTGTTACTTTTTTCTTCCTATTTCACACGATTTCTTGTACTTGTTATATTTTACTTAAGCATTTGCTCAGGAACGTAGATTCCAAGTTTAGGAAGTTAATAGTTGAAGAGGTTGCTTATTTCTTGCAGTATTTCCAGCTGGGATTCTACAACCTCCATTCTTCAGTAAACACCAGCTTCAAGCACTAAACTTTGGAGGAATTGGCATGGTGATCGGCCATGAAATAACGCATGGATTTGATGACAATGGTAGGCATAAATAGACTGGCCACCTGACTGTGATGCAGGTTCATGCTATGTTGCTTCATTACATCCTTTATCTTGATGTTAAGGGATTCAAACAAAGTCAAAAAAGGTCAGTCAGCTGTGGCCGACAAGGGATTTTCCAGACTATATAAGATTAAAAGAAAGGGATCATAAAATTGCAGATAGTGGTAGTAAATCTGAGAACTGGGAGACTTTTAGAAACAGCAAAGAGGAACCAATAAATAGATAAGGAAAATTGATTATGAATGAATTCTAGCAAAACCATAAAAACAACTGTAAACACTTTGTTACGCTGAGATGGATGTGTGTCCATGCATGCCAAATCAGGAACATTTATAATGAGAAATAGAGAAATGGCAGACAAGTTAAATGATTACTTTGTGTCTGTTAACTGAGAAAGATACAAGAAATGTCCCAGAATTAGACCAAGTGACTAGGAAGAATGAGGAGTTGAAGGGCTTATTAGTGATAGGCAGCATGGTTTTGTGCAGGGAAGGTCATGTCTTACCAACTTGATAGAATTCTTTGAGGAAGTGACAAATTTGATAGATGAGGGAAGGGCTGTAGATGTCATATACATGGACTTCAGTAAGGTGTTTGATAAGGTTCCCCATGGTAGGCTGATGGAGAAAGTGAAGTCGCTTGGGGTCCAGGGTGTACTAGCTAGATGGATAGAGAACTGGCTGGGCAACAAGAGACAGAGAGTTGTAGTGGAAGGGAGTTTCTGAAAATGGAGAACTGTGACCAGTAGTGTTCCACGGGGATCCGTGTTGGGACCACTGTTGTTTGTGATATACATAAATGATCTGGAGGAAGGTATAGATGGTCTGATTAGCAAGTTTGCAGATGAAACTAAGATTGGTGGAGTAGCAGATGGTGAAGGGGACTGTCGGAGAATGCAGCAGAATATGGATAGATTGGAGAGTTGGGCGGAGAAATGGCAGATGGAGTTCAATGCAGGCAAATGCGAGGTGATGCATTTTGGAAGATCCAATTCAAGAGCGAACTATACGGTAAATGGAAGAGCCCTGGGGAAAATTGATGCACAGAGAGATCTGGGTGTTCAGGTCCATTGTACCCTGAAGGTGGCAACGCAGGTCGATAGAGTGGTCAAGAAGGCATACAGCATGCTTTCATTCATCGGACGGGGTATTGAGTACAAGAGTTGGCAGGTCATGTTGCAGTTGCATAGGACTTTGGTTCGACCACATTTGGAATACTGCATACAGTTCTCGTCGCCACATTACCAAAAGAATGTGGATGCTTTGAAGAGGGTGTAGAGGAGGTTCACCAGGATGTTGCCTGGTATGGAGGGCGCTAGCTATGAAGAGAGGTTGAGTAGATTAGGATTATTTACATTAGAAAGATGGAGGTTGAGGGGGGGACCTGATTGAGGTCTACAAAATCATGAGGGGTATAGACAGGGTGGATAGCAAGAAGCTTTTTCCCAGAGTGGGGGATTCAATTACTAGGGGTCATGATTTCAAGTTGAGAGGGGAAAAGTTTAAGGGAGATATGCGTGGAAAGTTCTTTACGCAGACGGTGGTGGGTGCCTGGAACGCGTTGCCAGCGGAGGTGGTAGAGGCGGGCACGATAGCGTCATTTAAGATGTATCTAGACAAATACATGAATGAGCAAGGAGCAGAGGGATACAGATCCTTGGAAAATAGGTAACAGGCTTAGATAGAGGATCTGGATCGGCGCAGGCTTGGAGGGCCGAAGGGTCTGTTCCTATGCTGTAATTTTCTTTGTTCTTTGTTCTTTGAAATTAATATAAGAAAGAAGCTTATACTGGAGAAATTACTGGGGCTGAAAGTTGATAACGTGACTTGTATGCCTCTGTCTAAGTGTTTTTTTCACCCTATGATCTGTCTGTCCTTGCTTACTGTGATCTGCTGTACTGCTCACAAACAAAACTTTTCACAGTACTTAGGTACATGCGACAATAAATAAATCAAATCAAATCAAAGCCTCTGGGACCTGATATTTTACATCCCAGGAGCTGCCGTTAGAGATAGTCAATGCATTGACTATCACCTTCCAAAATTGTAGATTGCGGATTGATTCCTGCAGGTTGGAAGCTGGTAAATGTCACCCCACTATTTAAGGAAGGAGTGAGAGAGGAAAGAAAGAACTAACGACCTGTTAGCCTTAGATCAGTAGGAGGTACGATGCTAGAATCTATTATAAAGGATGGTACAAATAGACACTTGGATAATACGATGCTCTAATTGAACATTGCAAGGGGAAATTGTGTCCACTGAAATTGTTGGGGGTTTTTTGAGGAGGTTACACATTGATGAAGCGGTGTTGATGGACATAGTATTTAAGTTGAGGATTTGAAGAAGGCTTTTGATAAGGCATAAGAGGTTGTTTTGAAAAATTAAAGTGCATGGGGTAATAAGTAATATACTGGCACAGATTAATGATTATCTTACAGGCAGAAAACAGACAGTAGGAATAAATGGGTTGTTCTTGCATCAGCAGATGTGACTAGTGGTAGGATCAGTACTTGGGCTCTAGCTGTTCACAATAAACATTAATAATTTGAATAGCTGGTCCAAGTGTAATATTTCCACATTTGCAGATGATACAAAGCTAAATAGGAATGTAATAAAATGTGAAGTGGCTTCAGGATGATTTGGATAGGCTGAGTGAGTGGGCAGGAACTTGGGAGGTGTAATATAATGTGGAAAAATGTGAACTTTGGTATGGGGAACAAATGTGCAGAATATTTCTTAAACAGTTTGAAATCAGAAAGTGTAAACCTACAAAGGGACTTAGGTGTCAGGTACAAACACTATTAGGAAGGTTAATGGAATGTTGGCCCATAATGCAAAAAGATTTGAGTACAAGAGCATGAAGTCTTACTTAAATTGTATAGAAGTTTGGTTAGACTGCACCTGGAGCACTGTGTGCAGATTTGGTCTCCTTATTTCAGAAAAGATACTATTTCTATAGGTGGAATGCATTGAAGATTCACAAGCCTTGGTCATGGCATGGCGAGACTGCCCTATGAAGAAACAATAGGCAAATTGAGCTCCCATTCTATAGAGTTTTGAAGAATGAGAGATGATCTCATCGAAACCTACGAAATATGTAAAGGAATAGGCAAGGTGGATGCTGATATGATGTTTCCCCTGGTGGGGGAGATTAGACCCAGGGGTTCGAAGTAAAATTTAGGGCCAAAATGAGAAAAAATTTATTTTACTCAGTATTGTGAATCTTTAAAATTCTCTACCCAAGAGGGATGTAGAAGCTTGCTCTTCGAGTATGTTTAAGTAGAGATTGATAGATTTTTTGATTACTGATGTGTAAAGGGCTATACAGATAATGTGGGTAAAAGGCTTCGAAGTTTACAATCAGCTACATTTGTAGTAAATGGCAGAGCAGGTTCTATAGGGTGAATAGCCTATTCCTGTTCCTATGTTCCACGTTTTTAAGAGGAGTTGCCAGCCTGACTCCCAACCTTTTGAACACAGTTAATATAAAGATTAGAGAGATCCTGGGGCTGACCACACTCCCACTGATTTTCCAAGAGGTTGTAAGTTGAAGTGTAATTGGAGTTGCCCTGATTTAAATGGGTGGATCTTCTGAATTTGCAATTCCCAAGGAGCTCCTTGCCTTACCTGCCATCCTACAAACTAGAAAATGGCTAACATCCTACAATTTCCTCAAATTGCAGATAGTGGACAAGGCTCCTCACTGAAAAAACACCCCCCTCAATGCGACATACAGCATAGAGTAAAACATTTCATTTGTAATGCTTCGCCAGCTATTGCACTGACATTTTGAAACCATTCTATCTAGCACTGAAATATCCTTCAGGCCTGAATTATTATCTATTATTTTGATTTTTCTACCAGATATTTCATAGGACAAAACATCTATCAATTCATCCCTCTGTAACACAGCCTCATTTGTTAATTGCATTTGTTTTTCTATGTGTAAATAAAATGACACATTGTTTCCTTTATGTTAATATCGGTTAGATTTTATTGCTCTGCCCAGGGGTGTTGCTATAACCTGCCAGCAAGACCAATATCTGTAGACATGTGATTATCTGCAAATTCACATTGTCCATTATGATTGATGATGGAGGCTTAATTTTAACTTGGTTTCCATCAATAAAGACATTCTTCATTGCGTCTTGTCATCTCTAGGCAGAAATTATGATAAAGATGGCAACTTGTATGATTGGTGGAGCAATTTCTCAGCCACGCATTTCAATGACCAATCCCGCTGCATGGCTCATCAGTATGGAAACTATACGTGGGATTTAGCTGGTGGACAGAATGTGAGTATTCTTCTCTTTTTTTTATTCTTTTTCACATGAGAGCAAATAACAATAAATGGGATGGAATTCCTGCACATTTGAGAGATGGGGCAGTGTTGCTAGTCAGTTAGCATAACCACGACGTCACTAAAATGGTCAAACCACTAACTTAACGTATTTCTGTCTGAGGGACCTTGCTGTGTATACATTGCATGATACGGAGGTGCCAGTGTCGGACTGGGGTGGACAAAGTTAGAAGTCACATGACACCAGGTTATAGTCCAACAGGTTTATTTGAAGTCACTTCACCTGACGAAGGAGCGGTGCTCAGAAAGTTTGTGATTTCAAATAAACCTGTTGGACTATAACCTAGTGTCGTGTGACTTCTGACTATATACATTGCAGCAGCAACTGCAATATTTTGATTGGCTATGCATGCTGTTGAAAGGCACGATTTGAATGCAAGGTTTGCTTTTCTCTCACCTCTTCCACACAACGGTACTTTCTCACTTTTGTGAACGACCTCCCTTGGACATTTTTGAGAGAAGACATTCTTTTCATTTTAATCTTTTTTCTCTGTGGACTTTCACCCAATCGTGTTTTGTCTCAGATCATGAGATCATTCTCCATTCAAACGAACATGTTCAGAGATGTTTTACTGAAATGACCTTCTGGGATTCTTCTCAAACTGAGGCTCAACCCAAATACTCTCCCCCTTCAGGTCACTTTCACTATTTTCATCTGGTGTCTGGGAGAATTGCAACGGAAGGAAGTATGCATCTGAAATAAGACGAATGTCAAAAATTCTCTGATCACACTCACCTTCTTAAACTGCATGGTTTACCATGTCGCTCCAGTCATTCGCCTGTTTTCAAAAATGGATTGTATCTTTATCTCATCAATAAATTGATTGCTGGAGAAAATTGGCTGTCTGCTGAAGCTGCTCAGTGGGATCGCTTCCTTCTGTGACAACATGATGGGCAATGCTAGCCTTGACCAAACAACATTGGGACCCTTTCAGATCTGCAGTGGGGCAAACAGGGTTTTCTTCTGGCACTAACATTCTTTGGCATATTATTTTCTTTGCTGCTGATACATGTCTTTAGATCATATGCACCGAGTGCCTATTTTTATACCAGAGCTAGCAGAACATTGTTTAGCCTTGCCTGCCTCAGATCCAAGATAAAGCTACACTGAACCTTCATCAGAGAGTTGCTACTAGCTGCAACGCCACGTATCATTTCATATTGAGGAACAACTACAGTGAAAAATGGAAGACCCTCTCATGCCTGGAAAGAATATTTTTTCATCGTTAGCATCAGGAAGACCAATGCTTTGGTCCAGCCTGCCAATGCAAGAAAGACCTGTCTATTCCTACTCTGTTTTCTGCCTGTTAGCTAATCACTAATCCATGCCAGTACATTACCTCCCACGCACTTTAATTTTGCTAAACAACCTCTTGTACCTTATCAAAAGCCTTCTTAAAATCCTAAAATCTCAAAATGAAATACTAATTCCATCAACACCGCCTCATCAATTTTGTTCGTGATCTCCTCAAAAAACTCCCAACAAGTTCATTGAACGTTATTTTCCCTTTGTAAATCCATGCTATGTCCAATTAAAGCTGCATATCATCCGAGTGTATATTTATCCCATCCTTTATAATAGATTCTAGTATTTTCCCTACTACTGATCTAAGGCTAACAGGTCTTTAGGTCTTTGTTTTCTCTTTTGCTCATTTCTTAAATAGTTATCATACAGCCATCGATCAGCACTAACAATGTAATGCTCAAAGTGGTTGTTAGTTTCACATATCTAGTCTCCACAATCATTAGCCAACTGTTATGATGAAATCAGTATGCATATCCAAATGTTGCAACAGTGTAGACCAAGCTGAGTGTGGAACTATAGCAACCTGATTGAGAATAGCAAATGGATTCTATCAAGCCTGCAACCTCAGCGCATTCGTCTACAGTGATGAAATATAGACAACATACAGAAGACTGGAGAAAAAGCCAAACAACTTCCATTTTTGTTGTCTCAAACATGGCCTTGATATCACCTGGCAGGACGAGGTCACCGACTCAAAGGTGCTGGAACATATTGATCCCAACGGCACACATTCATTGATAAGCTAACAACATCAGTGTTGTCAGATGGTTGAGAGCCACACACCAAAAGGCAGTGAAATAACCATTTGGCAACAACCCCCTGGGCATCCACACTGCTACTATGGCTGAGATTGACCCTGACAACACAGAGAAGGGGTCTCTCACAGCCATGACCTCCAGAGGCTGATTGTCTCTTCCAATACCTCTTCCAAACAAACAGATTTGAAAAGCTCAGCTGACTGAGGAGAGGGACCAGAGGAAACAGGCCAGAAAAGCATGCTCTTATCGGCCCAGTCTTCGTCTGCAATGCCAAGTTGAAGATCTTGAGCCATGCTGGATAGCACTCAGCACAGCATTGATCCCCACAACGCAAAAATGATCATCTCCCGAGTTGGAAAGCTGCCAAAGAAATTAACTGTCCTATTAACCAACTCCTTCTTCCTTCATAGACAACATGGTGTAGAACTGGATGAACACAGCAGGCCAAGCAGCATCAGAGGAGCAGGAAAGCTGACGTTTCGGGCCTAGACCCTTCTTCAGAAATGGGGGAGGGGAAGGGGATTCTGAAATAAATAGGCAGAGAGGGGGAGGCGGATAGAAGATGGATAAAGGAGAAGATAGGTGGAGAGGAGACAGACAGGTCAAAGAGGCGGGGATGGAACCAGTAAAGGTGAATGTAGATGGGGAGTTAGGGAGGGGATAGGTCAGTCCAGGGAGGACGGACAGGTCAAGGAGGCGGGATGAGGTTAGTGGGTAGGAGATGGGGGTGGGGCTTGAGGTGGGAGGAATGGTTAGGAAGGCGGGGATGAGCTGGGCTGGTTTTGGGATGCGGTCGGGCGGAGGGGAGATTTTGAAGCCTGTGAAGTCCACATTGATACCCTTGGGCTGCAGGGTTCCCAAGCGAAATATGAGATGCTGTTCCTACAGCTTTCAGGTGGCATCATTGTGGCAATGCAGGAGGCCCAGGATGGACATGTCGTCCAAGGAGTGGGAGGGGGAGTTGAAATGGTTCGCGACTGGGAGGTGTAGTTGTTTGTTGCGAACTGAGCGTAGGTGTTCCGCAAAGCGGTCCCCAAGCCTCCGCTTGGTTTCCCCGATGTAGAGGAGGCCACAATGGGAACAGCGGATACGGTATACCACATTAGCAGATGTGCAGCTGAACATCTGTTTGATGTGGAAGGTCTTCTTAGGGCCTGGGATGGGAGTGAGGGGGGAGGTGTAGGGGCAGGTGTAACACTTCCTGCAGTTGCAGGGAAAAGTGCCGGGTGAGGTGGGGCTGGAGGGGAGTGTGGAGCGGAATGGGGAGTCACAGAGAGAGTGGTCCCACTGGAAAGCAGATAAGGGTGGGGAGGGAAAAATGTCTTTGGTAGTGGGGTCGGATTGCAGATGACGGAAGTGTCAGAGGATGATGCGTTGGATCCGGAGGTTGGTGGGGTGGTACGTGAGGATGAGGGGGATTCTGTTTTGGTTGTTATTGCGGGTAGGGGGTGTGAATGATGAGTTGCGGGAAATGCGAGAGACACGGTCGAGGGCATTTTCGATCACTGTGGAGGGGAAATTGCGGTCCTTGAAAAACCACTCTCTCCGTGACTCCCTTGTCCGCTCCAAACTCCGCTCCAGCCCCACCACCCCCGGCACTTTTACCTGCAATCGGAGCAAGTGCTACACCTCCCCCCTCACCCCCATCCCAGGCCCTAAGAAGACCTTCCACATCAAACAGATGTTCACCTGCACATCTGCTAATGTGGTATACTGTATCCGCTGTTCCCGTTGTGGCCTCCTCTACATCGGGGAAACCAAGCGGAGGCTTGGGGACCGCTTTGCAGAACACCTACACTCAGTTCGCAACAAACAACTACACCTCCCAATCGCGAACCATTTCAACTCCCCCCTCCTACTCCTTGGACGACATGTCCATCCTGGGCCTCCTGCATTGCCACAATGATGCCACCCGAAAGCTGCAGGAACAGCATCTCATATTTTGCTTGGGAACCCTGCAGCCCAAGGGTATCAATGTGGACTTCACAAGCTTCAAAATCTTCCCTCCCCCTACCGCATCCCAAAACCAGCCGAGCTTGTCCCCACCTCCCTAACCTGTTCTTCCTCCCACCTATCCCCTCCTCCCACCTCAAGCCCCACCCCCATCTCCTACCCACTAACCTCATCCCGCCTCCTTGACCTGTCCGTCCTCCCTGGACCGACCTATCCCCTCCCTAACTCCCCACCTACACTCATCTTTACTGGCTCCAACCCCGCCTCTTTGACCTGTCTGTCTCCTCTCCACCTATCTTCTCCTTTATCCATCTTCTATCCACCTCCCCCTCTCTCCCTATTTATTTCAGAATCCCCTACCCCTCCCCCATTTCTGAAGAAGGGTCTCGACCCGAAACGTCAGCATTCCTGCTCCTCAGATGCTGCTTGGCCTGCTGTGTTCATCCAGCTCTACACCGTGTTATCTCAGATTCTCCAGCATCAGCAGTTCCTACTATCTCCTTCTTCCTTCAAATGCCTTGATACAAGTCTATCATTTCTCACTAAGTCTTGTTTGTAATGTTTTGGTTTAAGCATGGAATCTTGTAAATAAGAGCCTAGCATCCAAATCTACTGGATAATACAACCACCATAAGTAATGAAGTGGCTGAAGAAGACCCAGCACTTCCTTCTTAGAAACACCAGGTTAGAACAATAAATTGCTACCATTGCTCAGACTAGGGAATGAGTAAAAACCAGCAAGCTACAAATGACATCCAATCCAGCAATGCTTGTTGTGATCAGATTACATATCTGCTGTTTTAACAAAGGCGACCCATTTATTTTACACAAGTCAGAGCCTCCATTAGAGGATTAGCCACAGGAATGTCGTATAAATGCGCAGCCCTCATCCTGTACCATTGATATTACAGTATTCATTTTTAGCTTCACCATTCACACTACTTTGAGAAATCTCACTCTTTTCAGTTCCTTGAACTGGAAGACAATGCTGTCTTGCCTTTCAGAGACAGAAAGGAAGGTAGAATTCACATTTTTTTTTATATTCCTACCTGCCAGTAACCATATGTTTTTCCATATGTGGCGTGCAATGTCTTATTTCATTCTGGAATTTCTTCTGATGCAGGTGAGCGGCATCAGTACTTTGGGTGAAAATATCGCAGACAATGGAGGTGTCAGACAAGCATACAAGGTACAGCACTGATAGTCACCTTCAAACTCAACTCCGTATTAATCTGCCAACGGTTCGACTGCATTGGGGTAATCCCCACCTGTAGAAGTAACGCACAGAAAAATCACAAATTGCATTCCCATTATTTCCCATTAGTGCCATTACCTGATGACATTACCTGATCGTACAGTCATGGCGAGTCTGTTTAGCATAGTTGTTAAACCCTGTGCTTGATTCAGGTTTGCTTCAGCAAGTATTATTATTTTTGCTGCATTAGATATTTATGGGAGGACACAGTTGGAGGCTGTTCAGCCCAACATGTTCATGACGCCTCTTTGGAAAAACTGTCCAATCAGTTCCGCTGATAGTAGGAACTGCAGATGCTGGAGAATCTGAGATAACAAGGTGTAGAGCTGGATGAACACAGCAGGCCAAGCAGCATCTGAGGAGCAGGAAAGCTGACGTTTTGGGCCTAGACCCTTCTTCAGAAAAGAAGA